CAAGCATAACCACTCAGTATTTTTAACTAATTCTTTGATAGAGTCATTCAGGTTGACCAGAGGCATGTTCTGGCTACCTCCCCAGTTAGCACATACTTTTTTTTTCAGATGCCAAAAATGGCCTCCAGACTCCAGCTTTCACTGAAATTAGTCCATACCAAGGGAAGTGTAACACAACTACATGATGTAAAAGAATACACAAATACATTTGAGAGTACAATAGATTCTTAGAAAAAGCCAGAAAAATGAACCAACCTTCATTCTTTTTGCACTCAACTGTAAGAAACCTGAATACCAAGAATTAATGAAAATTTCATTCGCAAAGATTAGATTTACTCACTTTTATTCTGAAATTGAGCTGCTCTTGTGCAAGGTCCATCTCAATGAATTTATTAGGCAGACCCAATGGATTGAGCAGCCAGTTTTTTAAAACAATGTTGCTATTGCAAAGGTTCAATATGTTTCAATGTAGAAAGGGAACCACACACTGAATTCGCTTTGGCCAGATGTTGGTCAGATTGTGGATGACATGAAGCATCTCATAAGCATATTTCGTTCAACCATTTCCACAGAAACTAAGTGCCCATATCTCCAGGACCAGCCAAGGGGGTGGCGGAATGTGGAAAATGTACCAACACTCCCTATTTTTCTTTTGTGGATTTGGTTGACCTCCCCCACCCCCTGCTACTATATAAGGTATGTTTTCTGAGTTCTGATGTTTTTTGAATTTTTTTCTTTTGTCACATGGTCCCACCTTCTCAAAATTCCTAGGAAGCTGGGCAGCAGCCTGCCAGTCACTGGAAACTCACAAACCTTCAACTTACAGTTGAAAATGCTTTGAATACAAATCTTTGCATGGAGGAACATATATTATGTGACAGAAAGTGGTGAGTTTTACAAACTGTCAAGAGCATATTTACATGCAAAAATGTGACATAGAACAACTCATTCAAACGAATTTATGTTCAGCTCAGCCATGGCGTACAAAGTGGCTTTGTCTCCACTTTTGTCAACAAGAGCCTTCAATAAATTCTTTCTCTCTTAAGGAGTTCGTTTGGAGCTTTGAATACAGCCTGAACACAATTTTGGTGAGTAAAATTGGAGTAAAATGTCTGCAAGAAAAAAAAAAGTTCCCTCACTCCACCTCATCCTCTATACTTATGTTCAACCCATCACAGCATCCATGGGCATTCTGATGGCCTACACTCCCTTCACCATTGCAGACATCGTAAGTACCTGCCTGGCTCTCAGACAGACACTTTTATTGGCTGTTGCTTGCGCAATTTGCAACAAAAATAGACCAGGTCACCAACAGGTCACTATTTTTTTTTGGCCTTTGGCCAGACCCCCCTCCCTCCCAGCCAGTGTTTGGGATCCATGTTCTGCCACCCCCTTGGGACCAGCACAACACATCCAGAGTCACCCACCTTGACTGCATCATTGAATTCTTGAGAAACAAGAGCATCCCACATAAATAGAACAGCATTTTCAAATACTGCATCACCTTCAGTTGGGTGATGAGCTTTTGGATCTGTTCAAGACCTTGGATGTTGCACCTAAGCAGCCTAAGCCCTCGAAACCACAGGCAGCAAGAGGAGAAAAGCGCGTGAGCAAAGCATCAGAGCTTGGAGAAGGACATGGGAGTGGGGTGAAGGAAGATCAAGCCAAATGACAACGCACCTCAAACATTGCCAGTGTGGAAGCACCTCCCACACCTGTCAATCCACGGCCCAGACTGTCATCTTCTCGCCTCTCACTGCCTCCTTCATCCACTCCTCACCAGCCAGCCTTTCTGCATACTTGTCCTCCACAAACTATGCACTTCAGTCACCCACCTTGAACAAGCTATTAGCCTTGTAAAATGTAAGAATGTATCCAGGCTAATAGGTTGTGTGGCCATTTATTTTTTTGCCTTTGGGAGAAAATATAATATTGGATTGGGTAGAAAATATTTGACCTGTAATATTGTGACCAGAAATGTTTGGGTAAATAAATTGTGTTCAAAAATATCCTAGTCAAGTGAAAGTGGTCAGAAATATTTGAAGGGGTTCAGACTGGTAAGAAATGTTTGAAGTGTGTCAGACTGGTAAGAAATGTTTGAGCCAAGTCTAACTGGCCAGAAATGTTTCAGTGGTGTGACATCAATCAGATATATTCTAAGCATGTCACACTGTTGAAAAATCTTTTAGCCTTGTCACATGGCTCAAACATATCTGACCAGTGTCACGGGGTATCTGGGGTCCCAGTTTCAAGAAAAAAACTTGTTTTTTCTGGTGCAGTTTTCTCATCATTTTGTACATTGCTTTTTTTTCCCCTCAAAACTCATCTAAGTTTGTTCTCACCAATACCCCACTTCTATCTGCCATTTTCACCACTCTAAGTCTGTTTTCACCAACATCCCACTTCTCTCTGTCATGTCAC